TGCGAAGTTATTGTAATTCAATAAACCTCCATTATTATGCGAAGTTCCTGCAATAGTGGTCCTTTCAAGCTTCTGTTCCTCAGACATTGAGAAAGAATTTTGGACATTATTGTCAAACTCGAAAAGATAACTGAGGATATCATCAATCTTGAGTTTGACATGATATATGGTATCACGCTTCCATGCAATAAGTCAATACTTAACACAAAGAAGTTTCTTATGGAGTTGAAAGTCCATAGAGCCAAAGGAGATAGAGTTCTCCCATGCACTCTTGATAATATCCCCAATCCCCTTTTCAGAGAGCCAACCCATCTCAAATTTGAAGGGCTTGGGACCTTTAGGAATGACCTTAGAATAGAGGAGAAGGGGGGTATGGTCAGAAGAAAATCGCAAAAATGCCTTAACAACTGCAAAAGGAAATAAATCTGCCCACTCCCCAGACACCAGAAACCTATCCAACTTAGACATGGACAAATTGGAGGAGCTGTTATTAATCCACGCGTAATGTACACCAGAAATAGGCAGATCAATGAGGGCATGAGTTTCAATAAAATCATTGAATAAGTGCATAACAGTCGAGATTGAGTTAGTATAAGTGCACTCATCATGCCGTCTGATAAAGTTGAAATCCCCCCTCCCCTCCCCCCCCCCTCAAACACAGAGGAAAAGAAAATTCTTAAATAAAGAGAACCATATCATTAATCAAAAGTTGCTTTTGTGCCCAATTATGAGGCCCATACATATTCAATAAACCCCAACAAAAATCAGACCCAAGCCCCCCAAACCCTACCATCAAAAAGTTATCTTTTTTAAGGGAGCAGAAAGAAGACAAAACAATGGGATCCCACAAAATCCACATACCACCCGAAGTACCCACAGAGTCAATTCCTAGGAAATTAACAGACTTGGAACCCCAAACTTCCCTCACACTAGAGATAGTGGGATCGGGAAGTTTGGTTTCCTGTAAGATAAGAACAGTTGGTCTAAACCGAGAAACCAAAAACAACACATCCTTCTTTCGGTTGAGGTCATCCAAACCTCTTACATTCCAACTTAAAATATTCATGGAGAAGGGTTGAGAGAAGAGGAACCTAGGTCGTTCCTCAACCTGTCACCGGTAGCAGGGTCAACATCCTCCTTCCATTCTTCCTCTGTGTCCTCATCTTCGAAGGAAAGCCCTGTGTACTTAGACACCTGTACCTCTGAAAAAACAATCCCCTTTGTAGATGAAGCAACGCTCAGTTCTTCCCTCTCTTGCAGCCTTTTAGAAGATCTAGTCCCTTTTTCTGGGGCTTTACCTCTAGCTTTCCCTTTGGCCACACCTGGGGGTGGAGCCGCCAACATCAAATCCGAAGAGAAGTCACCACTTTTATTCACTTTCTCGGCCTTCTTTTTATCAAGAATGCCTTTATACACCACCACAATGGGGACATCATAGTCCATGTCGCAATCTGCAACCAAACCAGTAACCCTCTTTTCCTCAACTATAGCGGGTGAAGATTCTTTAAGTGGCATCACTACAGAAACCGGGTCAGTCGTGAGTAGCCTGCTCGAGTCAACTGGAGCAGCAAAAAGATGAAAGGTTACATGGTTATCATCTCGATGATAACTGTAAGAGGAGGTGGAGAGGCCACTTCCACCATCGCTAAGTTGGGGTCTGCAGACCCCATTGGATCAGCTGCTTTCTCAGAGGGCGCGGGAACATCACGTTTAGGGTTTAACGCCTCCCATTCTAGAACCATATTTTCTTCAGGGACAACCACTGCCAGCGGATCAACTAGCAGAGGGTAAAACTTCGGTCTATTCTTCTAATCTCTTTATAGTGGAAAAGGGGGTACATCTTTGCAGCGACCACTAACAGGAGGTTAAAAGCAACCATAGAGCAACGGTTATGAGCAGCAGGAAATAAGGCTGAAAGCCACACCGAGAAGAGGGAAAAGCAAGGAAGCTTCTGCTTGCTTAGGGGAGAAGGCAAAGAGGATGTCGATTGGGAAATGGAAGTGGTTAGCATCGTTCAGATGCACGCCGTCAGGCCATCTGTCCTTTTGGGCGGCGCCTCAGTACCAAACACATATTTGTTGCAGGAAGGAGGATTTGTTATTGGTGAAGCCCCGCGGTCCACCGAAGTTAGTGTACCAACATCAGAGCAGTTCCTACGTGTCACTTTGATGGAGCTGTTCAGCTCACTATCGAGTTGACCTTCCTGACAAAGCGCCGGTGGCTTCGCGAAACTTCCCACTGAAATCCAATGCTCGACAATTTTCAAATTTTGCTCATGCTTCCGTTTTTTCCTGGACTTCCGACACTTTCGACATCTTGAACCATGTCCAGTGAAATTCTCCATTACATTCAAGTTAGAGTTTTTGTGGGTCAATAGAAGCATTTTCACCTTTCAAAATCTATTTTAGAATCTATTTTAGAGATGGATTTTGAATTTTCAAATTTTATTGATTGACAATATTCCTGGTCACGATGATGAAATATTTATAAGGTTGGGACCTTATACTACTGAAGTAAGGTACATCTCAAAACCCTCTAGAATGGAGTGTACCAACATTGAAGAACCTTTCAATTGATCATCTCGACCTCGAGACATGAAGATACAAAGAAGAAAAAGAATTTCAAGTCTAAAAAATAATGGATATTGTAATACGTTATCTGGATTGTCTATTTCCAAGATTTTCAAATATTTATAGATATATTCAAACTATACTATTTTTGACATTTTAAACTTCATGACTAGGGATACAAATAGACTTTTAGCTATCATGAGATTCCCTACACCAAAACTACATCCTCAAGCAAATTTTCGAAGTAAGCATTACTTCTACAATATAAGGAGGGTGCCTTATATAAACCTCACCCTTGAAAACGAAAAAGAATTTGAAGCTTAAGATAATATATTTGTCCGTTTTTACCTTGTTTATTTTAAGGGTGTGGTTTCTTTAAGGTTGCAACCTTAAACAATACAATTAAAGTGCACCTCTAAATTTTATGATAACAAGTAATTTTGGTGTAAAACATTCTTTAGATTATCTTAAAATCTATTTTCATCTCTAATTAGAAAATTTGAAACTCCAAAAATGGTTAAAATCAAGTAGGTCTATAAACATATGAAAATCTTGAAAATGAACGGTCTAGATGAGGTATTGCGAGATGTACTATTTTTGGGAATCAAAATCTTTTTTTTGTTTCATATTCATACATCTTGATGTCGAGATGATCAATTAGAGGGTTTTTCAACATTAAAACGATATTTTCTGATGGATTTTTGAGGTGCATCTGTAATTCTACATTTTAAGGTTGCAACTTTATATAAATTTTTCCCTTATTTTAATTATTCTTAAATCATCAATTCGACTATTTCTTGAGCAGTGCAATCGTAGATCTAACATAAAAATGCATTTGGAGTGTCTTAAATGTATTCTATGTCCTAAATCCATTAGAATAAGTGCAGCCATGCATGCAACAACCAATACACTTTTTCATTATTTTATGGCATTTATAGAAGATTATTGCTGCACAAATGTTATTTAGGTAACTTTAAAAAACAACAAATACTTTATTTTAAGGTGTGGGTTGCATGAGGTTGCAATTTTATACAATAAATTTAAATGCACCTCCAAATTTTGTCATAAGTAATTTTGGTGTCGAAAATTCTTAGGATGGCCTGAGAATTTATTGTCATCTCTCTAATTATAAAATTTCAAACTTAAAAAATATTTCAAAATCAAGCAGGCTATAAATGCATGAAAGTCTTGAAATAAACAGTCCCGATAATGTATTGTAAAATACATTATTTTTAAAACTTAAATTATTTTTTTTTCTCCTTATTCATACATATGTCAATTCATTTTTTTTTTCCAACTTCAAAAAAGCCTTTTTTGATATATTTTTGAAGCGCACTTTAATTCTACAGCTTAAGGCATCAACCTTATATAAACTCTTTCCTTTATTTTATCGTTCAAAATAAAGAAAGTCACCTATTCCTTTGTGCAGGGAAGTCGTTCGTTGAGTTTGGGAAATACAATATATTGCTATTGTATAGATATTGGGAAAGAGTGGGCGTTGATTGGTTTGAAATTTGAATGTTGTTTGTCAAGTGGGTCTCACGAAGCCTGTAATTATTGGAAATTGAAATATAAGTACCTTTTTGTATGTATGATTTTAAAAATTATTTTCTATGTTTAAGTGTTACGTGTATATTTTTCTTTTTTGGAACTCCAATTATAGAACTAAGGTATTTTCTGCAGCTTAATTTTTGGTTTTGAACTTCATGCTTGGAGCCAAACGTTTTTTTTTGTTTAACCGGTTCATATATACATATAAAATATGAGATTAGCCCGTTCGCCTATATGTTTCAGCTGCATCTAACGGTCATGATGAAAAGTCTATAAATGGACGGTTAGTAGGATGGTAAGAAATGTCAGCATTCTTTGTGAAAAAAATGGCTTTTTTTAATGGGGGCGCTGACAGTGCAGCGCATGAGTACTGACATGCACGATTATCTCTCTCTCTTCCTGAAACAACGCGCCTTCTCTTCTCTCTGTACCGAAACAACACGCCCTCTGTCTCTCTCTCTCCTGGTTTTCTTCCTCATCTCCTTGCTTTCTTCTTCCCCCACTCTCTTACCACACAGTGGAACTCCCTCTCTCTCTCTTTCTACGCAGTGGTCCTCTTCTCTCTATGCAGCAGAAAAACCCAACTTTCTCTTTCTACGCAGTGGAACTCCCTCTCTCTCTACGCGGCGGTCCTCCCTGTCTCTCTGTACAGCAGAAAAACGTAGCTTTTTCTCTCTACGCGGTGGAACTCCCTCTCTCTCTCTAGGTGGTGGTCCTCCCTCTCTCTCTGTGTAGTAGAAAAACCCAACTTTCTCTCTCTACTTGGTGGAACTCCCTCTCTCTCTGTTCAGCCATTGAAGCCCCATCTTTCTCTCTCTACGTGGTGGAACTCCCTCTCTCTCTGTTCAGCCATTGAAGCCCCAATCTCTAAAGGTACTCTCTCTCTCTTATTTGATAGGTTTTAGTGAGAGAAATCCCTCCATGATTTTCGGCCTTCCTCAAGCCCCTTCATCTTGCTTCATTTACAGCCAGGCAGTTTAGATTGATTCTACAGTTTGAAGGTTTTATTCATATTTGATTGATCTTAGTTTGGAGAGTGATCGATTGAGAGTTTCTGGAATTGTATTGACTGATTTTTCTGTGCAATTTCCGATTTTTCTCAGCAATTTATTGGATCATATATGAGTCAATGAGATCATCATTTTGGTAAATTTAAAAATGGGAAACTATTTCAAACTTTTGTAGAGGAGGAGATTGAATTTGAAGTGTTTGATGGATTTCCAAAGCGAAGTATAAAAATTGGGTTTTTCTGTATAGCGTAGGAAAAGTCCAGTTTTTGGGCTACAAAAATTTGAAAAAGTTAGCAATAGATTAGAAAATCATTTGGGCTAGAAGTTCTCTCTCTCAAAATTGTAAAAGTTAGCAATAGATTTATTGGCTACAAGGTTATCATAAGTTCTCTGTTGAACATGCTTAAAAGATTTGATTTCAGGCTTGCATTCTTTCTCCCATTGGCAACTTTCGACAATCTTGTTGTCCTGTGTTATTGTGCGTTAAGGGGCATCCTGTGTTTTTGTGCGTTAAGAGGTACAATTCTCTTACCCTAAATTTAGATCTAAGTAGGAGTTTCATGTACATTCACATTTCACAAAAATTCTCTCATTCCTGAAAATGCAATTTTTTAGTTTCTTCACATGCTATGCTATAATTTATTGCTTTTTCCTTATTAGATTCAGCTGTTATAATTATGATTATTTGGTTCAGGTATAAAGCAAATGGCATCAGGTTAGATTCTGGTGACAAATTCATGTTTATGACAAACTTTTAAATCCTGAAAAGTATTGTATGTTGGGGACAAAGTCATGTTTATCCTTTTATATATGTTTACGTCACTCATCATAATAATGTATTTTATGTCTCAGACAGAGTATTTTGTGTCTCAGAGGACAAATTCATATGGAACAACTTCAAAGGAGGGGCTATGGCTATTTTTTTGTTTTATTTGTTTTTTGAAAAGTTTGTTGTTAAACTATTGGCATTATTGACACTCAAAAAAAAAGATACAGGTTGTATGCCATTGTACAGGCTTGTCTGTTGATTAGAGTGTGTATGGTTTTTGTGTAAACTTGGCGACGGTTTGTTGCAATTATGCAAATCTGTCTTGATCTGCAGCAAGAGCTTGTCTTCTTGGTGGCATTGGCCATGATATTTTATTGTTGAAAAAATATTTAAAAATGCAAGAAATTAATCTGACTTGTACGTAATGACCTCACTGCATTTGATATTTCTGTGATCATTCAAGTAGTCTGTTGCAGAACTCTTTTTGAAAATAAACAGTTTCAAAAAGTAGTTCTGAAATCATATTCTGTTGATATCACAAGTAAAATTGAAACCTTATTTTGAAATGAAGGGGCAAGGTCAAGAAAAAGGTATGTGCTTGACTACAAGCTAATTCTCACCTAGAGCGCAAATTATTAGTTATCCTATTCAAATTGTATCTTTTATAGGTTCGGGAATGTATTAATGCTTACTGGGCAAGCTGATTATCTTGCCATTACTGCTCTCGATATTACGAATTGTATTGAAAACAGTGTTTTAAAAAACTCCGAGTCGAACCGGACTCGTCCGGTTCGACTCGGAAATCACAAAAAGTGGATCGTATTGGCCAAAAAATCGAAAATCGTCCGGTTCTAGAGAGAACCGGACGATTCTGTACAGTGACTCGCTGATTCACAGTGAATCGGCGAGTCCGAACGGTGAATCGGCAAGTCCCGTACGGTAATTTTTTTTTTTTTTTTTTTTTTTGAATCCATGATAGATTTTTTTGTAATACTTGATTCGATTTTTTTGTAATCCATGATCGAATTGTTTTTGTTTTTTGTAATCCATGATCGAATTTTTTGTTTTTTGTAACCCATGATAGAATTTTTTGTAATCTATGATCGAATTTTTTGTAATCCATGATCGAAATGTTTGTTTTTTTTTCTTGTAATCCATGATCGAATTTTTTGCTTTTGTAACCCATGATAGAATTTTTTGTAATCCATGATCGAATGTTTTG